GTATAATGTAAAAGAATCTCTTCGGGCCACCTCTCAGGTAATTCGACTTGTCATGTATAAAATCACCTATTATACCTTTATTCATCTCCGATGGAAAACCTTGTTTTATTTGATGACAGTAATAAATTCCAGCTACAAAATAAATTAGTCGTCGTTACAAAACGATGTGATGTTATAAATAAATAAGGAATAAATTATATGAACCAAATTTTGAAAAAAAAGGAAAAAAATAAATTGTAAATTGTATTACGCCGCCAGTTACAACGAATAATCGTTTAAATTAAATTAATGAATACAAACACACATGTAATTGTTGCGACACGATAAGCAGTAGCAGCTGAGCTATTCAAACACAATGCCAAACATCTATAGCAAAATGAGATATATAATTTTTCAAATCTTTCAACCTTATGGATGACTTATCGAAAAAGTGAATATTATTTATATTCGAACTCATTTTAAGTATGGTGAAAATGGACTATGAACAAATTTTGAAAAAAATCGCATACTCCAGTTCATAGTCATCGTACCCACTGATAACCAATCCCCACTCCCAAGATTTCATCTAAAGAGCCTAAGGTCTAAAACCAGTATTTCGATTAGGCATATTTTTTTATCGTATCAATTCCGACTTATTACAAAAGAAATATAAATTAATTGTCATTACAAAGCGCCTATAATTCAATCAGAACGTAATTATAAATCAATAAATAAATTATTCGAACTAAATTAAAAAAAAATGTGTTATGCCGCCTCGTAGCCTAGGCAAAATTTATTTGAACAAATGCTTGAATTAATAAACGAACAAATCGTATATGAAGTCGATTCGACACGACAAACAGCAGCTGATTCAAATCCGATATAATTGTATTATTTATTTTCAAACAAAATTCGTAACATCTGTTGATAAAAATCGTGAAAATGCTGTGATTTGCATTTTCCGATTCGAGCGAGTCTTTGCAATTGTTGCGAGCCCTACAATTAAGGAAATTTGCTATGTGTATATTTATTCAAGATTTTTTGAAATAAGATTTGATGATTTTGAACAGGCCTTGTGTAGATAGAAATATTAGGATGCCGAGTTTTAAAAAGGAAACCGAAATTAAGTTCTTCATTTTTAAAAATTTAAAATTTTAACCCGTTGTGGAATAGGTACCAGAAGCAGTAGACCGATATAACTCATCTTTGTACCAGCTCTCGATTCTTAGGATATTTTTGGGACCTCAATACCTGTTTGGATAATCTTGGATTTTTAGACATTTTAGAGACCTAGGAATTGGTCCAATAATCGCATATTTTAATAAATAAGATTAGGACAAATAGGTATTGGTCCAGTTATGGTAGGTTTTCATGCTCTTTTTGGGACCTAGGTAATGGCCCAATACTCGTGGATGTATAAAATACTTCTGGGATCTGGATTTTGGTCCAATAATTGTGGATTTGAAAGATCTAGGTATTTGTCCGAATATCGTAAGTTTTTAAGACTCCTTGGGATCCAGGTATTGTTCTATCTAGGTACAGCGAATTTTTAAGACACTTTTGGGACCTTGATATAAGTCTACTGGTCATAATTCTCTTAGAAACCCATAAGACCAAATTATTGGTCTAATAATCAAGATATCTTAGACATTTTGGTGAGCTAGGTGTTTGCCTAAAAATCTTTGAATTTACAAATCCGTCCCCAAAGAATCTCTCAAATTGTTAGCAAAAATATGGAGACGAGGGAAATTTGAAGACAATCGGATTTTTATGTCACATTATATACGGGATATATTATTATGTGAAGTGGGTAGATCTTATCCATTTTCGCTCCTGACCTTGCACAGATAAAAAATATAAGTAGTTACAAAGTTCGCACAAAGTTGGATGATCCTTTCTAGTTCTATAAGGTAAAATATTTTTTGTGAAAATAGGATACACCCTTCGAGAGTTATCGGGTGCTCCAGCCAGACAGACGGTACCATCCGATTTTATCTCGAATTCGAGTTGTCCATATTTGGGAATGTATCAATAAATATCCAAATTTTTGAATACCTTAAAATAATAATAATATAAATATTGGTAAGATTTTCCAACCCCATCTCCTAAACATCCACTCAATGGTATTTTCTAAAAAATCACACTTCCTAAAAGATTTGGGTATGAGTTTTTTTGTAAAGGGAATAAAAACTTCGACCTGGCCCAACTGAGCCGCATGCAGGCCTCTATATTAAAATAGCAACCATTCACCCCTTCATAATCAGCGAAAAGTCGTGCAGCACTTATTTTGCCATCCTCATGCGGTCACAATTACGATGAGGTTTTAATTGTTCGATCTACCGGTGGACGTTCGATGCAACGTCACACGACTTACGCCAACTTCTCATTATCTGAGCGTCCATTCCCATTCTGTCTATTGAAATTATATGATCAGGATTAATTTTTAAATAGAAAAAAAAAATTCCATTAACTATAACTATTTGAGAATAATTAATTTATGACACAGTGGGTTAGAAAGACTGTAAAGCCTGAATAATTATTTTAACGTTTTACTATTCAAAAAAAAAAATATATGGTAGAGGTCTTTTCGAGCAGTATCTAATGCCAGGTATCAAATATCATTGTTGTGGGGTTGTGGACTTTAACACCAAATCGAATGAAACATATATATGGGAGCTATAGGTATATCTGAATTGATTTTTACCAAATTTGAACTACTTGTTTCTAGGATAAAATCAGCCCGAAAATTCAGTCCATTTGGGCCGATGTTTGTGCATAATAAATCTAAAATCGGGTAAATGTATATATTGCAGCTATATCCAAATGTGAACCGATCTCGAAAAAAAAATGATACAGGTGTTTTTGAGCTCTATAAGTTTTCTGGTACCAAATATCATTCGTGTGGAGTACATAATACGCATATAAGGAACTTGAACCCCAAAATCGGTGAAGCATATACATGGGAGCTATAGGTATATCTGAACCGATTTTCATCAAATTTGATTTACTTGCTTATAGACTGATTTCAGTCACAGTTCTCTCCATTTGGGCTGATATTAGTTATTTGGTGCACAATAAACCTGAAATCGGATAAATGTATATATGGGAGCTATATCCAAAACTAAACTGTTTTTCACCAAATTTGACGTACTTGCTTCTAGACTGATTTCATTTGGACTGATAATGGTCATATGGTGCACAATTTACCCAAAATCGTTTGAAGATATACAGGGCCGACAGCTGTTAAAATTATTCCAGTGACAGTTCATTATATTGTTTACAAGCGTATTGGCGAGAAGCATTTTGGTGAGAATTTTCCAGAAAAAAAAAGTTATTCGTGATGGAATTCAAGTGTGATAGTGTGATTTCTTTATATTTGGCTGGAAAACAATAAGTGCCTATCGTTATAGCACTCCAGCATTTAAATGTGAATAAGTCCTGTGTGTCTCGTACCATCGCTCGTGATACTGGGAAGCGTAGACCGACGTCAAGGAAGTGGACGGAAGAAAACAGCAACATCAGCAGAAATAGTTTGAAAAGTAAAGAAACGACTTGATCACAAATGAAAATGGCTCGTGAGCTGAACATATCGCAATATTCCATTTGTCAAAAGTTGAAAAATGAGCTCGGGGTAAAGCCATTGAAATTCCAAAAAGTCCAGAAACTTACACCGCAACAGAAAGAAAATAGACTCAAAGAGCTAAGAGTTGCTTCGCTTGGCCGAAAGTGGTGAACTGCCGAATTTGGTTTTCTCCGATGAGAAAACATTCGCTGTCCAGCTGTTTGTAAACAAACAAAATGATCGTGTCTAATTGCCAAAGAGGTTAGCTGAAAATGTGCACCTTCGGTTGGCCACCAGAACTCAAGCGCTGGTCATGGTGATGGTGTGGGCCGCCATAACAGCCGATGGTCGCTCTCCGCTCATATTAATCGACCGTGGCATCAGAATAAATGCCGAATATTACCTCGAAAATATTCTGGAGGGTGTATTAAAGCCTTGGCCACGCAAACATATTGGCCGCAGACCTTGGATATTACAACAGGACTCAGCACCATCGCACTCAGCTTGCGCCAGCCAAGAATAGTTACAAAATGAGGTTCCTCGCTTCATTTCCAGCGTACAATGGCCACCAAAATATCTGGATACCAATCCGTTGGACTATTGTGTCTGGAGTATTTTGGAAAGCAAGGTTGGCACTAAGAAATACCAAAGTGTCGATCACCTCAAGCAAACGCTTCGCCGGGAATGGGCCAAAATACCGCAGAGCAACATTCGGGAAGCTTCTGACGGTTTCCTTGGCCGTTTGAAGGTCATAGTTCGTGCTAAAGGTGATCAATTCGAACAAATCTAAACTTATTCTAAAATTTGATGTTATTTCCGACATTTTTGCTTTTATTCAATAAAATCTTAAAAAAATGTGAAAATTATGGCGTTTGACTTTGTTGAAGTTTTTTTATTTCACCCTGTATATGATAGCTATATCTAAATTTAAACCGATTCTCGCCAATTAAAATAGGGTTCGTCCTTGGGCCAAAAAAAATTGTTTGGAAAATTTTAACTCTATCGGATAATAAATGCGATCTGCATTTGCTTCACTAAAATACATAGAAGAACGAAACGACTTGAATAAATCGACTCAGAAAGTGATTCTATGGAGATCCTCAAAAGTATCTGTGGGCCTATCTCGCCTCTTACCAGCATGTAATGTAGGTTATAAAAAAAATGTCCACATTTCATGCCAATCCAACCCACTGTGTCACATGTCAATAACTTGTCGTTAACAAAGGGCTAAACTACTTTTTTCTCTTTCCATTCGCGCTCTCTCTTCCTCTCAGCTTTTTTGTTTCCCTCAGAGAAAGTATTGTTGATGCAAATAAAGAAATCTTACCAAAATAGTTCTGTTAGCAATGCTGCTCTCAATTTATCCACATCCAATACAAAAGCGCAGATAAACAACAACCAAGAAAACTTATAAAGGTTGAGGTAAAGCGGCACATAACAGGTAGTTGCGACAAAAGCGTTAACCGGTGAACATCTTACCTGCAAAGACAAAAGAAAGTAGCAGCAGCAGAAGACGAAAACTGTTATTAAAAAAGCAATTTAAAATAAATAAAATAAAAAAGTGTTGAAAGTATAAAACCGTAAATCAAGAAAAGTTGAAAAATGGATGCAAAAACCTTTAGAGAATTTGGCAAAGCGGCCATAGATTATGTTGCCGATTACATGGAGACCATTAGAGAATGGTAGTGTGCATAATTCAAGTGTATAGTTCCACAATGGAAAAATAATTAAATATTCTTTATTTTTTGAATAAAGTGATGTCTTGCCCTCCGTCGAACCCGGCTATCTGTTCGATTTGTTACCCAAAGATATGCCTGAAAATCCCGAGGATTGGCAGTCGGTTTTGAAGGATGTGGATCGTGTCATCAAGCCCGGCATGACCCATTGGCAGTCGCCCAACATGCATGCCTATTATCCCACAGCCTCATCATTTCCCTCCATTGTGGGTGATATTTTGTGCAATGGTTTCAGTGTCATCGGTTTCAGTTGGGTATGTTTTTTTCTCTATTAATTGTTTTTGCAAATATTTAAATGTCCCGAATTGTTTTGCGGACAAAGAAGCAAAGGAAGTGGGCAAAAAAAAAGAAATCTAATCTTCATAATGTGATTAATATAATTATCTCGAACGTGTCAAATAAGTGTTGAATGGCTAGGTAATTGGCCACAATTAATTGTGATAAAGAAATTTCATTTTTCACAGCATTTAGAGGTTAAAATGCAAAAAAAAATTAAAACACATATTGAAGATGTCATAAAACAAGGTAAAAATTATCCGTCAGTTTTGCCGACAAATGCATACCCTGATCCAATGTTCGATTATTTAAATATATTTTGACTTTTGTTATGATTATTCAAATTTTTGACCCTCTATGTGGTGGGTTCCGAAGGAATGGGCCAAAAGTGTCCCTTCTCATTTAATATGATATAAATATTACCAGGTTCGGACTACATTACTTACTTCCTTTCCACCATATAAGATATTAAAATGTGCCTGAGGTAACACATATATAGCGGATCGAAAAATTCCATTTTCATACTTCCTAAAAATTACAAGAAAATCGAATATTTATATCCAATTTAATGCGGAATCCATATTCATCTCAGATTTTTGGTTAAGAAAAATATTTAGATATAGCAAGTTGTGAAGAATCACCGACTTCTTTCGCAAGCTATGACAGATACAAGTATTGAAAATTGTGAACCTTTGTGGGTGAGGTTGGAGGGGTTCGCAGATATTTATCATCTTCACAACACATCTTGTGTTAGCAAAAATGTTGACCCTTGGTGGGACAGGTAGCAAAAAAAATTGTCCGATCTCCACAATCTTTATGGCAGATCTTGTGTTGATAGAAATATTGAGATGCACCAAATCTGAATGGAATCGGATGTTAATTTCACCTTTAACGAGCTTCACTGATATTAAGATTTTGACCCTCTGAGGTACCAGAATGAGTGGTCCGATATATCTTCATCTTCCATCGTCACAGCAAATCTTGTGTTAGTAGAACAAATTGGATGTGTGAAATATAAAGAGAACCGAAATGCTTATTTCGGATTTTCCAATCGTTTTGGTTAATCAAAACGTTGACCCTTTGTGGGGGAGGTACCAGAAGGAATGGTCCAATATCTACCATCTTTGTAACAGATCTTCTGCTGATAGAAATATTGAGCTGTGTCAAGTCTGATTGGAATCGGATGTTAATTTCGCGTTTTATGAGCTTCATGAATATTCAAAATGTTGACCCTTGGTGTGGGAGGTACCAGAAGGAGTGGTCCGTTACACCCCGTCCTCACGTCGGATCTAGTGTTAGTAGAAATAATGGGATGTGTGAAATATAAAGAGTACCTGATGCTTATTTCAGATTTTATAATCGTTTTGGTTATTCAAAACATTGACGCCAAAGTTACAAGTCGCACACATTTTACCATGATTTATAGATTTTTGCGTATTCCTATTCTTAGGCCAGAAAATTGTTATTTATGAAAGTTGTTTAAAGATAATTTGCGTGATTTTGATAAAAAAAACAGCCTAATATTCAAATTTGTTAAAAATGTTATTGATGTAACTAGTCAAAGACCAGAGATATCGCGAAATAAAAATGAATAATTAAATTTCCAAATTTTTACATTTTTGAGTTATCTGTTTCCTGAGGCCATAACAGTCTATTTAAGCCTTATTTATTAGGAAAGTTTGCTTGAATATTTAAGAGCATCATCAGAAAACTTCACTAAAATAAATATTTTCTATATATTTCATGAAGTATCAGAGATATCGCCAAAATTACAAGCCAAACACATTTTCCAATGATTTTAAAATTTTTGGGTAATCCGAATCTTGGGCCCGTAAATTTTTATTTATAAAAACTATTTAAGAAGATTTGCAGGATTTTGATAGAAAACAATTTAATCTTCCAATTTGGTAAAGATTTAATTGACGTAACTACTCAAATACCAGAGATATCGCGAAATATAAGGGTGTGCTTAAAATGCTAGAAATTAAGCATTTTTGGGTAATCACTTTCCTGAGCCTATAACTATTTGTAAAACTACTTTATCTTAAAAAAATATTAGATTTTGTAAGGAGACCAGTTTATTCCTAGTCCAGAATAAATTATTTCTATATATCTCATCGAATACCGAAGATATCGCCCATGTTACAGGGCTGCCCAAAAATCTAATATTTTTAGTATTTATGGATATTCAGTTTCTTGGGCCTGTAACTTTTTATCTATCAAAGCTGTTGTTAAATAATTTGCTCGTTTTCATAGAAAAGTAAATAATCTTCAAATTGGAATAAATAACAGTGCTGTAGCTTGTCAAATGCCAGAGATATCGAAAAAAAATTAAAACGTACGCAAAATTTCCAGGAATTTAAAATTTGCGAGTAACCGGTTTCTAGGGGCCATAACTATTTAAATAACCGATCTATCTTAACCAAATTCATTTGATTCGGATAGAGCTCTTTGTTATCTTTAAATTGCTATAGGTTTTGGAGATATAACTTGTCAAATACCAAAGATATCGCCACAAATACAGATATATACACATTTAACAAATTTGAACATTTTTTGAGTAACCGTTTTCCAAGGTCCATAACTTTTCAAATACCCAGTCTGCCTCAACCAACTGAATTTGTTCCGAATATAAAACTTTGTTATCTGTATCTTTAATATAATATTAGAAGATGTAATTTGTCTAATACCAAAGATGGAGCGAAAAGTAAAGAAGTTCAAAAAATTTCCAAAATTAGAAATTTTTGAGTAACCGACTTCCAGGGGCCATACCTCTTTAAGTAACCGGTTTATCTTAAATATATTTATTTGCTTCGGATAGAGCCCCTTGTTATCTTTAGATTGCTATAGCTTTAGGAGATATTACTTGCCAAATACCAAAGATATAGCAACAAAATAACGATATGCTGACATTTATCAAACTTAAACATTTTTTGAGTAACCCTTTTCCCAGGGCCATAACTATTCAAATTAGCAGTCTGCCTCAACTAAATGTATTTGTCTCGGATAGAAAACTTTGTTATCATTTAATTCGTATAGGTTTAGGAGAAATAACTTGTCAAATACCAAAGATATTACAAAAAAATAAAAATGTTCAAAAATTTACAAAATTAGAAATTTTTGAGTAACCGACTTCCAGGGGCCATACCTCGTTAAGTAACCGATCTATCTTAACCAAAATTCATTTGATTATTCAAAACTCTTTGTTATCTTAAAAATTGCTATTGGTTTAGAAGACATAAATTGCCAAATACCAAAGATATCGCCGAAAATAATAACAATAACATAATAACATTTATCAAATTTAGACATTTTTTGAGTAACCCTTTTCCAAGGGCCATAACTTTTTAAATAACCAGTCTGCCTCAACCAAATGTATTTGTTTCGGATAGAAAACTTTGTTATTATTTAACTCGTACAGGTTTAGGAGAAATAACTTATCAAATACCAAAGATATAGCAAAAAAATACAAATGTTCAAAAATTTACAAAATTAGAATTTTTCAAAAATTAGAACTTTTCAAATAACCAGTCTGTCTCAACCAAATGTATTTGTTTCGGATAGAAAGCTCTGTTATAATTTAATTGGTATAGGTTTAGGGGAAATAACTTGTCAAATACAAAAGATATTGCGAAAAATAAAGATGTACGAAAAATTTACAAAATTAAAAATTTTTGAGTAACCGACTTCTAGGGGCCATACATTTTTAAGTAACCGATCTATATTAACCAAATGTATTTGTTTCGGATAGAAAACGTTGTTATGTTTAAGTTTGTATAGTTTTAGGAAATGTAACTAAGCAAATGCCAGGGATATAGCAACAAATAAGAATCTACAAAATATTTCACAAAATTTGCAATTTTTGAGTAACCGACTTCCAGGGGACATAACTATTTAAATAACCAGTCTAACTTAACCAAATATATTTGTTTCGAATGGGAAACATTATTATATTTAAATTTACCTCGGTTTTGGAGATGTAGCTTATCAAATACCAGAGATATGGCAACAAATAAAAATCTTCAAAATATTTCCAACATTTGCAATTTTTAAGTAACCGACTTCAAGGGGCCGTAACTCTTTAAGTAACCGGACAGTCTTACGAAATTTATATGTTTTTAAATAGAAAACTTTGTTATCTTTTAATTGGTATAGGTTTAGGAGATGTAACTTGTCAAATACCAGAGATATAGCAAAAAATAACCAAGTGCGCAAAATTTCGAAACTCTAAAAATGTTGAATAAACCTATTCCAGGAGCAATAACTTTTGATATAAGCTTCTATTAACTTAAAAACTTACTTAATTTCACAAAGATATTTTCTTGGTCTTATTTTCCAATAAATTTTTGATATAGGTTATTATATAGTCAATATCGAAGAAGTACCTAATAGAATAATAGGGGTTCCTAATTTTTGTTCAGTATTTACAGTTTTTCCGTAAACAGCTTCCCATTGCCATAACTTGGAAAAGCTTAAGTTAAATCCCAAAGTTGCTTGAAATTTTGAGTAAGGAGTGAATGGTAAAATAAAATGGGCACCGTTTGTTGATATAGCCCTTTCAGAGATATCGTCAAAATCTAAAATGCCTTATTTTTTAATTTGTTTTTTTTTTTTTTTCGTTTGTCTCTGATTTTTTTCAGATCTTATGGTGTAGTATCTTCCTGAGTCGCCTACTTAGAGCTTCTTTTGTATATTCCCATTTGTTGAAGGTTACGTTTTCACCCAGATAATCTAAAAACAGCACACTTAGCACCTTGAGATGATAAGAAACTTAACTGCTTCTATACAAGTTTCGCGGTTTCTTATCTCAAAATTCGATCACACTTCGATTTACTTTCTTTTGAATTTAAAATTTCCCATGTTTCTATTTCGGGGAATCGTAAATAATATCATAACTAAGTTGTGGGACATAGATTTGAACCTATTTGATTTTTTTTATGACAACATTACCATACGCATATTATCTAACAGGGATGGGGACCCTAACAAGTAACCGATTAATTTATGGGATGCAAGGTGTTATCAAATATTTTATGAATAAATACATAACAACGAACCCATGTGGAGAAGAAACAACAAATCAAAATAAAACATAAAATTACAAATAACAAAAACAACATAATTGAAAAGTGTGAAAACCAAGTCATCAAGAGAGCAACAATCAATCGAAATTTATTGATATCCAGGGGGTAAAGATGCTAAACCTTTTGGTCAGTAGAAAATGAAAACTGGTTTTTGGGCCAGAGTGAAAGTGCTGCGCGCACCGCAGAAAGAGAAGATGACCGTCAGTTTTCATTTAACAGATTGACTTAATGTTGTTGGCTTTTTTAATATTTTGATAAGGTGTCTGACAACAACAAGAATAAATAAATTTCAAGTTGAAGGTGTGAAGATAACGAAATAATAATGAGGCATTAATGATATTGTCTCCCTAATAAGAAAATTTAAACAATTTGACACCAGGGACAAGGAATGACAGCTGTCGTTACAGGGAAACTTCTACGAAGATTTGAGGTCTTGATTACGAAGCTGTGACGTCTTAATTGGGAAGATTTGTGGTATTTATTATGAAAAAATTGTGGTCTTCGTTATGAAATCCTAAGGTCTTGTAGTCTTTATAGATCTTTCCAAGCTTTTTTGCGATGACTTTAGATATTCCAAAGGCCTTTAGTTTGAAGATTTGAGCTCATCAATAAAAAGATGATGATATATCTGTGAATATTTGAAGGTCGTTGTTATGATACTCGGTACCTTGATTATGTCCGTCTGAAACTTTGTTTCGATAAGGCATTTTTTTATAAAGATCTAAGATCTTCATAGCGGCGATCAAAAGGATTTAAGGCAGAACTAAAATTTCCTTTATTCAACACAGTAGTGGAAAACACTCGCGAGTGAAAGTACCCACGAGTTTTAAAGAAGTTTAGTCTTAACAAAAAAAAGAGAATAACGGAAGAAGCAGAGTATTGCAATAAAAATAAAATTCGGCATGACAAAATATAAAAGAGCACTCGGCAAGAATAGATAGAATCTACTCGATTTCGATTCGATCTTATCGAAACATAGAGCAAATGGCCGGAATTCTCTTGTTCGAATTCGAGTAAATTTCACTCTATACCTAAAAACGATCGATCGAATATTTTATCGAAAAAAAGAGTATACTCAAAATATTTGTGCTTAATACCAGGAATTCTCTGGCTTGAAATTGAGTACATTTCACTCTCTACTCGAAAACGAGCAAAGCCTATTCTATTTTATTGAAAAATGAAGTATACTCGATTTCTTTGTTTTTATTAGAGGGCTCTCTCTGGCTCGAATTTGAGTTAATTTCACTCTCTACTCGAAAACGAGCAAAGAATATTTGATCTTATCGAAATATAGATTATACTCGATTTATTTCTTTTTAATAGCAGGAATTCTCTGGCTCGTATTTGAGTAAATTTTACTCTCTACTCGAAAACAAGCAATGCCTATTCTATCTTAACAAAAAATAGAGTATACTCGATTTATTTGTTTTTTAATAGTAGGAGTTCTCAGGCTCGAATTTGAGTAATTTTCACTCTCTACTCAAAAACGAGCAAAGCATATTCGATCTTATCGAAAAATAGAGTATACTCGATTTATGTTTTTTTAATTGGAGGTATTCTCTGGCTCCCTCTCTAGTTGAATTCCCTCGATTCGGTTTTGAGCGAATTTGACTACCACTCGAAAACTAGCAAAAGGGTATACTCCATTTATTTATTGTTATTAGAAGAAATTCTCTGTCTCGAAATTGAGCAAATTTCACTCTCTACTCGAAAGCGAGCAAAGCATATTCGATCTTATCGAAAAATAGAGTATGCTCGATTCCTTTGCTTTTAATAGCAGGAAGTCCCTGGCTCGCTCTCTACTCGAATTCCAGCGAGCTTTAGGGAGCTCTCAAATAGCTTCTACGAAGATCTGAATTAATTTGTATTAAGTCAATTATAGATTTCTCCCAAAGTTTCCTCCATTAAGAAAACATATAGTCTACTCTGAGAAGAAAAACTACGATGTGAAATAGACCTATGGCTTCTCATATAAATTAAATCTGGAGGAATACTCTGAAATTGGGTCATGATCTAAATTTTCTTCGCCGGAAGATTGGGAGTCTCTAAATAATTCTCTTTTTAGATTCGGTCCTTAAATAGTGCTTTTCGAAATTGGGTCAGATTATTTAAAAATCCTCTGAAATTGGGCAATGATCTGTAGCGACATTTTCTTCGCCGGAAGTTCTGGAGAAGTTCTCTTTTTAGATTCGGTATTTTACTAGTACCGTTCGAAGTTGGGTCAGATTATTTAAAGTTTGTCTGACTTCCGAGAAATTTAGTACCAGAAGACTGTAAATATTTTTTGTGATTCACGGTGATGGAGATTTTATGAAAACGACTTGGGGAAATTCATTAATTCTCTCTATAATCGGGAATATCCTTCTCTTCGAAAACTTATGGTATAATCTAAAATCCTCCTGAAGATTATGGTATGAATTCTGTAACAAAACATAATTATTCCATCACAACTTGTGACAGACCGAAAAAATTAGGAGGTTTTCTCAACGAATTTAATACAAATCGTTTCTCAGATAAGACCCGAATCTGATGACATACTTTACCTCTAGAAAGATCTGTGGTTTGATCCAGGATCTCCCTAAAGATGATACTTGGAATTTCCTAAAAAAATAAAATTAATTTCTTTTTTATCCCGATTTGAGACCAACCGAAAAAGGACGGAGATGTTGTTATTTATTTTCTCCCAGTCCCAGTCTTTTCCCTGATGAAGACCTGACACTGATGGGATATTCTTCTCCTAGAAGACCTGTGTTTTTTTTGTAGAATTTAACTGAAAAGAAATGTTTTTTTTTTCAAAAAGTCCTTGATTTTCCAATAATTATTTCCCTGACCTCCTTTCTCTTTTCCTCTCCCCTTACAGATTTGCAGTCCAGCCTGTACGGAATTGGAAGTCGTAGTAATGGATTGGTTGGCCAAATTCCTGAAACTGCCACAACATTTTCTACACAGCACCGAGGGCCCAGGCGGTGGTATTATACAAGGCTCCGCGTCTGAAGCCATTTTGGTGGCTGTTATGGCTGCCCGTGAACAGGCGGTAAAGAACATGAAACAATCCCATCCTGAGATGAGCGAAAGTGATATACGTGGCAAACTTATTGCCTACTCGAGCGATCAAAGTAACAGCTGTGTAGAAAAGGCTGGAGTCCTGGCTGCTGTACCCATGCGTCTGCTTTCGGTGGGTGATGATTTAATCTTTAACGGCAGCATTTTGGAAAAAGCCATTGAAGAGGATAAGGCCAAGGGTTTGATACCCATTATATGCATTGCCACCATGGGCACAACGGGCACCTGTGCCTTCGATGACATTACCTCTCTGGCGCAGGTTTGTAATCGCAACAATGTCTGGTTACATGTTGATGCTGCCTATGCTGGGTCCGCCTTGGCTTTGGATGAATTCTCGGAACTAAGAAATGGCCTGGAATTGGTGGACTCTTTGAATTTCAATCTACACAAATTCCTAATGGTGAATTTCGATTGTACCGCCATGTGGCTGAGGGATGCCAACAAGGTGGTGGATAGCTTTAATGTGGATCGCATCTATTTGAAACACAAATATGAGGGTCAGACACAAATTCCCGATTTCAGACATTGGCAAATTCCATTGGGTCGTCGTTTCCGTGCCCTGAAAGTTTGGATTACCTTCCGCACTGTGGGCGCCGAGGGCCTCAGAGCCAATCTACGCAAACACATTGCCTTGGCTGAACGTTTCGAGAAGAAACTCTTGGCCGATCCCCGTTTCGAAATGGTTACCAAGCGTTGTTTGGGTTTGGTATGCTTCCGTCCAAAGGGTGATAATAAGCGGACCACAGATTTGTTGAGTCTCATTACGGAACGCAAGAAGATCTATATGATCCAGGCCAAACATCGTGATCAACATTTCTTGCGTTTTGTCGTCTGTGGCATGGACCCGAAGGAGGAAGATGTCGATTTTGCCTGGCAAGAAATTCAAACCCAAATGGATGTGGTGTTGGACAAGAAACTTGTGTCGGCTGTTAAGGCCGATGTTAATTCGATAAGTCAACAGTTTTCAAAGGAGTTGAACATATCAAATTCGGAGAAGTCGAAGTAGGATTTTTAAGGATTATTTTCTTTATTTTTAAGAGACAATGATATTTTTTGTAATTTATTTGTTTAAGTGTAAAATATTTATGTGTAGAAGATATGAATAAAATAAAATCGTTATAGTAATAAAAAAGTTCTTTATTGTATATATAAAACTTAGAGGTCCAATGAAGATATATGAAGGATTCTGGGAGGTATTGGAGGAAACACCCTCTAGAGGGTCTAAATAACACCCTAAAATTAATCCGATTTCTTGCTAAAAATAACAGAAAATACCAAGTATTCGTCCGTAGTTTTCCTGTAGGAATTGAAAGCTTAGAAACCGAAACAAAGACATATTTTTGGAAACTTAGTTTTTCTCTCAGATGGATGTCGAATTGAGTAGAAACAAGTTAAAAAGTATCAGTCGGTTTAGCCGACAGATGTATACCCTCAGCCAATGTTCGATAATTTCAATATATTTTTACTTTTGTTATAATTATTCAAATTGTTGACCCTCTATGGAGTAGGTTCCAAAGGAAAGGGCCAATATTGACAATTTTCTATCGGCCCTATATAAATATGATATAAATATTGCGACCTGCCATGTTTGGTCTATATCGACTATTTCCTTCACTTTATATGAGATATGTAATAATTTTTAGAAAATGTTAAAATGTGCCTGTGGTACCAGATATAATCTACCGAAGTATTCCATTTTCATACTTCATCCAATACAGATAAAAATATTGGGTATGGGAAAAATACCAAGAAAATCGAACATTTATATCCAAATGCGAAATCAAAAATTTCGATAAATTCCGTATTCATCTCAGGTTTCTGGTTGAGAGACATATATTTAGATATAGGAAGTTGTAAAGAATAGCAGATTTGTTTGCAAGTTATGATTAATATAAGTATGGAAATTGTGACCCCTCGTGGGTGAGATACCAGGAGGGTTTCGCTGATTTATATCATCATCACAACAGATCTTGTGTTAGCAAAAATGTTTGTATGTGTGAAATCTGGAGAGACGCTTTCGCTTTCTTTGAGCGTTTTGTTTTTCAAAATCTTGAACCCTATTTGGGGAGGTACCAGAAAGAATGGTCCGATATCTAACATTTTTATAACAGATCTTGTGTTGATGAAAATATTGAGATGTGCCAAGTCTGAAGGGAATCGGATGTTAATTTCGTGTTTTATAAGCTTCACGGGTATTCAAAATTGTGACCCTTTGTGGTGGAGGTACCAGAAGAAACGTTCCGATCTCTACCATCTTTATAGCAGATCTTGTGTTGATGGAAATATTGAGATGTGCCAAGTCTGAATGGAATCGGATGTTAATTTTTCGTTCTATGAGCTTCATGGATAATCAAGTTTTTGAACCTTTGTGGGGAGGTGCCAGAAGAAGTGGACCGATATATTCCATCTTCAATCCAGACCTAGGGTTAATAAAAATATTGTGATCTGTGTAATTTGGAGACAATCGGACTGTTACATCACATTTTATTAGAATTGTAAATATTCAAAATTTTTCGGGGAGGTACTTGATTGAATGAACCGAAATTGTCTAATTTCGCACCAGTCCTAGCTCGGATGCAAATATTACAATTCTCAAAGTTGGAGGAAAATCAGATAGTCCTTTCTCTCTCTTTTTTTTTAAATCTTGACATTTTTTGTGGGTGGTTGAAGAAGGAGTTGATCGATATTTTCCAGCTCCGAACTCGATCTAAGTTTGATTATAATATAACGATGTAAGATGTTTGGGCCAAATCGGATGCTCCCTACGATGTTAACGTGCAAACCACCCAGACAGACGGACGGACGAAAATCGCTAGATCATTTCATCGCTAGGACATTTTAATGGGGGTACTTAAAGCAGTTACATTGGGGTCTATACGAAGACGTGGACCTGCATAGACAACTTTTGTCATAAACCATTACAATAAAACTCCAGTGAGTTATGTAGCTAAAATCATCAAAATACCGAATATAGGGAGGTACCGTTATATCAGGGCTATACGAAGACCTGGACCTGCATATACAATTTTCTGTCACAGGCTGTTGTACCTATTAGGAACTTCAAATATTTTAAGTGAATATTGTACCTGAAATAGTCAAAATACCGAATATAGAGAGGTACGGAGAACCTGGGCCTATACGAAGACCTGAACCTGTATAGCCAATTTTCTGGCATTGAATGTAGTACCCATTACGAATTCTAAATACGAAATTTGAAACAACTCCGTTGAATAATGTCTCTAAAATGGTCAAAATATCAAATATTGGGAGGTAACGTTATATGAGGGCTATAGGAAGACTTGGACCTGCATACGAAATTTTAAGGCATACGCGTAGTATCCATTACAAACTTCGAATACGAAATTTGAAACAATTCGGGTGAATAATGTCGCTAAAATTATCAATATACCGAATATTGGAAGGTACCGTTACATGGGGGATATACGATATCGTGGATCTATATAGACATTTTTCTTTCAGGGGTTTAAGTGCTTAGAAAGAACTTCTAGTATGGATTTTTTATACGAATGAAAAATGTAGTTAAAAGCATTGAAATACCGAATAAGATGGGGGGGGAGGTCCATATGGGGTCCATGCTATATCGTGGACCGATATAGCCCATCTTCGAACTTGACCTGCCTGCAGACAAAAGACTGATCTGTGCAAAATTTTAGTTTTCTATCTTTATTCGTTTTGACTCTAGCGTTATTACAACTGACGGACGGACGGACGGACGGACAGGGCTAAACCGTCTTAAAATTTTACGCTGATCAAGAATGTATAAAGTATATAAGTTATGTCCAAAATTATTATTTCGACGAGTTACAAACGGAATGGAAGAACTTAATATACCCTCCATACCATGTATGGTGGAGGGTATAAAAAAAAATACTCAAAAAACGGAAATGGAATTTTTTCCCGAATTTTTTTTTCGGATCAAACTTTTGAAATGTCTCAGAATTTCGGATCAAACATTCGATACTTTTCCGAATTTCGAATGAATTAATCGAATTTTTCTCGATTTTCGTGTAAAACTATATAACAAACTCAGATCTTTTTCCGATTTTCGGATCAAACTTCTGAAAAGTTTCAGAATTCCAGATCAAACATTCGACACTTTTCCTATTTTCGAATGAATTAATTGAATTTTTCCCGTTTTTCGGGAAACTATAAAAAAATTCGGATTTTTTCCGTTTTTCGCATCAAACATCTGAAAATTCTGCGAATATAGTAACAAACTTACAAAAATGTTCCGAATTTTCCATTTGCGAATTCTAAAGTTCTTTCAAAAAAAAAAACTTTCAGAATCTTGGACAATCTCGCACAATTTTTATCCGAGTTCCTACCAAATACGACATTAGCATTGGAAACTTGTTCAGAGTTCATTTTCGCATTCGGAAAAAAATGTTATCTGGGTGCATACATTAAACACACAGGTATTTCGATAGTCGTTTACCAAAATGAAGTCTTCTGATAGCTACCTAATTCCAGGTGCATGCTTTAAAGTGGAAGTGGGCTCTATGTATGTATACAGGGTTGTCCATATTCGACGGACCCATCTGGCAACACCATAACTTTTGACAGAGATGTCACATCGCTTAATGACATACCGCGTTTGAAGCGTCAGTCCAAGCAGATTTTTACCATGAACCAATACACGCCACGCGAGCGCTCTGAAATAGTTGAAATTTACATTCAATTGTGAAAACTCAACGTGCTTTTAAAACATTAAAAAATGTGAGAAGTGCGCCTTCTAAGAACACCATTAAGCGTTTATACGAAAAATTTTCGACTGGTAAGGCTCTTTCTAATCCGAAGAGGTCATATAAAAGTCGACCAAGGCGATCGGCCGAGAATATCGCTGCCATACGAGCCAGTGTTGAGAGGTCCCAAAACGCCGTTCTCAGCAGTTGGGCATGGCTCGGTCCACTTTACAACGGATTATTCGCATTGATTTGCATTTGTTCCCGTACAAAATTCAATTGACGCGAAAAATGTTGCCTGCGGACAAGCCTCGTCGATTGGAATGGGCCCAAAGAGTCATGGGTCCGTCGAATATGGGCAACCCTGTATAATTATGGTGGATAATTCTCCAAATGCAAATTCACGGTGTCTTAAATGACATCTAAAAGCTCTGTAGCTTTAGCTTAAATCAAGCGTATAAAAATCCTGAAAGAGTTCTAGACTAGACGAGACTAGAAAAGATACGAAAAATAGTACTGTCGAAATGTCGTAGAATCCTGTATACGTAAAAATATTCCAAGTTATTCCCTTACAAAAAACCTTAAAGGAAGATAGTCACGACAATGAAACGTGACATCAAATCACCATCAAAGAGAACACACATTTAATAACGAAATAATTTATTCTAAATTTAAAAATAAAATATTTAAATTTTATCATTTAAACAACCACAGGCAAGAGGATAATCGAAGACTGCGTCAATATAAATCTTATGTGGTTAGGACAAACATTTTGTTTTAATTTATTCCAAAATTCCGAAGCACAAACATTTTATATTTTTTTGTGCTAAATTTGGACAAAGGCAGTCACAAAAGAATTCGGAATTAATATTCTTTGCTTTGATATAAATTACCGAAAATATGTATTTTTAGGCAATAATTGAATAGACTAATGCTCTGTTCCAGAACCTGCTAAAATCTTCAAGTCGATTAGTTTTTTTTTTTCAATATCATAGAGGGAAAATCGCATTCTTTCAAGTTTACTAATTGAGGAATATTTAAAATCCAGCTTCATTCCTGAGGACTCAACAAACTCCTCTTCTTCTACTTCTCGGAAATTATGCAAATATCTTCCGCAACACTGTGCAACCCCAGGGCAAATTATTTTTGGTATATCCCATGGAAATCAAACCAACAATGGACTTAGTGGCACACTTATTTTACTACACCGTCCAGCCAGTTATTTTCTTAGGATCCCAATACAGTCGTCACGTTGCTTTATAAATACCAGAGGTATATAAATATAAACCGAACGATGGATGGATGGATGGAGCGCAGTACACCGGCCGCCGGCATTCATTAATGTGGACAACATGTCTTGAAATTTTTTCTAAAAATATAGGATCTCCAGCCACCAAGTGGAACCAATAACTTGTGGGAAATAAAAATGATTCTTATATTAGATTGCTTAAAGACACATTCCGCCGCAAGGAATGGAGTTTATTGTTGGGCGCCAAAAGGAGATTCGAAAGATGTTGGGGGGGGGGGGGTTATTTTATTACCACACGGCATATCGGCCGGTACATGTGGGTTTTTACATTCCTGAAATAGATGTGTTAAGATAACGTATAACAGCTAAGTCTGGCACGAGGTTGATAAATGGAAACAGGGACTGCATGCTCATAGGATGTTTTCTGCGGACATAGTGGCACAAATTGAAGAAAAAAAAAACTGGTTTGAAAAAACTTCAGAAATATGTCAATGTGTTTTTGGCGAAAAAGAATGTATTCCTAAAAATACTAAACATGCTGAGATTGAAGCAAATTTAAATAAGTTAATTATCTCAGCTTCAAAAATAGCTGCTGAAGACAACGATTGTGTGGGTTTTTATATGCTATTCTATAAATATATATTTAATAAATCGGAAAATAATTGTGATTTTAAAAATACATGGACAGACATGCGCAAAGAAATAAATCGACTTCGACTTATAGGCCTGCCTCGTTTCCTTTTGTGTGCTCCAAACAATGCAGAAATACATAATATCCTGTACCACAGTGAGGTGTTGTGTATAAAAATGTGTGTCCCTTTCCTCTACCACAATCCCTCGGGAACTTAAAAACCGATCAACTGCAGCTTCTACGACAAATTAACCTGCTGATCGAATACCCTTAAAAAAACCAAAAGAACCAGTAGAGGCGGCTGGACTAACAAAAGACCGTGTTGATATCCGTCGTTTTAACGCTACTGATCCCAGAATCGGCAAATTGACCATGGACGTCCACCGGTTGGTAAAGGAACATTTGAAGTGTTTCAATATTGGAACCGATATGAGTAAACTGTGGCTAGCGATTTAAGGCTTTCGAGCCCTGGGATAAAGGATGATAGGACCTCAGTCACTTTTAGCCATGTAACGATGATTGGTCCGAAGAGGTGCGCTGAATATTTTAATCGACAATTTGTCGAGCACACCAAGAGCAATACGGCGAAGTGAAAAGTACTACGTCGTATCAGATCTCTGCCCGCTGAAGTGGACCCACAACAGTTTTCAATGGGAGATGTTGCAAATTTCAATTTTCATTTCTCATTGGTAATGTTGAAACAACTAGATACGCCGGGAGTTGAGTACTCGACAAAAATTCTCAACTGTCGCTAGCCACCGACATAGTTCCCGGAGAATTGGCAGTTTGTTCCCGCTACTGAAGCCAGGCAAGGAAGCCAGCAAAGGCAATTTGTCGCATCTGAGAAAGCTAACCAGCTACCAACCATCAAACAAATTCCGTCGCAGTATTCCACACATATCGTGGATTAATCCAAGACAAGACTTATCATAGCCCTTGACCTATCAAAGGCATTTGCTTTAGTCAACAACCCAACACTGTTTGATGATATAGAGAAAACTACCCTACGAACAGGTTGGATAATCAACTATATATGTGGACGCCAGTCGTGCCTGGAATTCTGAAACAGCGAGTTCCTCAAGATAGGGTAATACCTCCGAAACTGTTTAACCGCTACCTTTCCAGTATTCCTCACCCTCCAGACGGTATAGAGATCGTTACGTATCCGAATCATGGCATCGGGCCTTTGTGGAGAGGACAAGCAGAGGTTCTTGACCTCTTATAACCCGATAGTGGTCTGCGAATGTAGGTGCTAAGCAGTGGAAGAATATACAGACCTGCCAGAATGCTGCCATGACACCAGTTGAACATCTATACGAATTGGCGAAGATTCTTCCCGTAGAGCAGCTTAACCATATGCCTGCTTGGGTGTTATCGTGAGAATCATCCAAACCATCATGTGTCGTGTCAGGAAGAACATACATGATCTAGAGAGGGAGGTTCAACGCTACAAAAAAGAGCCTCTACATAATGATGATTATCAGGCGTGGATTTGGCGTTACAGCTATTGCAGTCACTGAAGCGATCAACAATTACAGCATAAATGCCGTTCTCGGAGTCCTCAACCCGTCCATTTTACCCGAAAAATATTCTGTCTAGACGGATAGGGTAGATTTGGGAGCAATCACTTCGAGAATGGTGCAGTCGTCTTTATTTGTATTAGGCACGAATTGCCGAAGATTTGCGAAACGTCGGACGTGTTATAGAGATCTGCACAATACGCTGTATCTCTTAACTTGGCATGCCAAACCCACCCCACTCACTCCAGAAGACATCTGATTACAGCCCGCGGAGTTTTTGATCAGCGTAAACGGCATATGATAAAGCTAATATTTTGCAATGATGTGCCTTATGTCTGAAGGCTGGTCAGGTCGAAGATGAGCTATATCGGTCAACGTTTTGATATAACCCCAACAAAATTATAGTCAAAATATCGAATATGGGGAGGATTCGGTATTTTGACTTGAATAGCTAATGTGTCAGCAGTTTGACTTTAATTTTAGCCGTAGTTTCGAGCGGAATAGCTTGCAATTGGACATTTGGAGTTTATAATGAATTCTATTTCCTGTGACAGAAAATTGTTCACGTTATCCCATGGCCCCAAATTCGGCATTTTGATCAATTTAGCCTCAATTTATACGCAGTGGTATACAATTGGTTTGTCAGAGTTCAAAATGGGTTCTACCTACTGTGACAGAACATGTTTAAAAGGCCTACTTCTACTACTGCTATTACATGAGTCCAAATGGTGGGAGAATTTGAAAGTTTGGCCCCGGTCGGAACTTATCTTCTTGTTTACTTATTTTATTTAATTTTTAGTTTTACCAGAGTCATTGAAAATGTACTATTGAATGTTGAATCCTCGAAAATATCCTCAAAAACCCAATTTGATTACATTAGTTCTAAATATAATTTTATTTTTTTTTTTCTATTTCTCTTTTCAACTTCAAGAATACACGAAAATAGAACAGTGTGGCTTGTTTGTTCGGGATACCGTAGTATTTTGTTGTTGCAAAATGGTCAGGCTTATCCCTTTATTGTTGTTTTTATAAAAACAACGTTTGTTTATTAGTGGAGAACGATGGTAATGTTTACCAGGGGGTAAGGCAGGGAATACCTAGGTTTCGGAAAGAGCCACCAATCCTCATCAGTTCCCTTGTTTTTTGTCTGGGATATTCTCCCCAGAAGTTATTTTAAAAAAATAACTTCTATGACAAAAAATATTTTTTACCCAAGTGACGAGATCGTAAGCTCAATAGAAGAGGAACCAAAGAATTAAATAAAACTAAAATTCTTTTGGAAAATATTCTAAATCTTACAACCGCACTTATAAACATTTATATCTTTCTCCACTTGTTATGCTTTCGTTCAACCTGAACGAAGTAGCATAACCATGTAAGTTGGTTTTGTCTGTTACAACAAAAACCCCTTCGTCGACCGTGCCTTGTCTATAAATAGAACAGTGTGGCTTGTTTGTTTACCATCGGTATGGTAATTTACCATTACCACCGTTCTCTACTAATAAACAAACTTTGTTTTTATAAAAACAACAATAAAGGGATAAGCCTGACCATTTTGCAACAACAAAATACTCGAAAATTTCAATGCCTCTACTCTTAAAACCCGATATTCTTCATAATCCTCATTTTACCGGAGGTGATCTCATTGAAAAATAAGGAATACATAGCAATCTACTACCCTGAAATATTTTAGGAAACATAGCTTTTTGTCACACTTTTTTAAATTGATAATTGTTGTCCAACCATAGCTATAGTCTTATAAAAAGTAGAATCTATATTAATCGTCTAGGCCGAAATTATGAGTCGGATTATATAGTGTTATAAAGCTACAATAAGTGTTATAAAAACAAATGTGTGATATTAAACTACAGAGTGCAATCTATTGATACACAGTAATACAAAAATTGGTTATATTGGGTTTGTGTCTTAAATCCCTTCAAATGATATGCTTATTAGCGCCCTCTACAAGTCCATAGTATAACTCACATTCTTTGTTTTCCCAGCTGACTTCTATCGATTTATCGAAAATCGATTTGTTGACTTTTATATCTATTCCAAAGAAAACTTGACGTAAACAAACCAAAAATATACAAAAAAATTTGTTGTTCATAATCACTTCGCTCCCCACTTTTGGCTAAGATATTTTCGCAACGAAAAAGGAGAAGAAATACCTAAATTCCTGGTGATTGAGAAAAATTTCCTGTGCAACACTTTAGGATTAAGTTGGAAATTCAATAGCTACCTGCCATGCAATTGTAAGTTGACAAATTTTTGGATTGCAAATGAAAGAACTTCCAAAAAATATTTGTTGTTTTTGTTGTAATTCAGTTTGAAAAAAAAAACAGAGGAAACGGATATCAAAAAAAATCGTTGAAATTCAGATGAAGACGAAATTCTAAGTTTGATTGTATAAGAGGTATTTTTATGGAGTCTATAAGGTGTTAGTGTGAGGTTTTCATGAAGGTATTGTTTTATATATGTAGCTATGTGCGTTTGGGTGTATATGAAGTATAGTATTTGTATCGGTTTAGCATTTGTATCATGATATACTATATTTTCGACAAGGAACAAAGAGTTCAGAAATAACATTATTGGAGGAAGGGAGGAGCCGCTAATTTTTAGGTGACACGCAAGCATTGTGACAATTATCAACCAGTAAAGAAAGATTAAAAATCGAGCTGGGCCGACTATATGATACCCTACACCACTTTGCGTATTTAAGGATAAGGATTATATTAAAAGAAGTAAAAAAAGCATTAAGTTCGGCCGGGCCAAACTTTTAATACCCTCCACCTTAGGGTAAAGAAAACATTAGATGAAATGTGGCATAAACCATTAAAATGCCGAATATCAGGAGGTACCGTTATATGGGGCTATACCAAATCATGGACCCATACATGCAATGTTTCGCCACCGGGGCTGTAACACATTATGACCAACAAATACCAATTTTTAGACAAATCCGTGAAAAAATGTGGCAAAAATAATCAAAATACCGAATATCGGGAGGTACCTTTATATGGGGGCTATACCAAAACGTGGACCTATACATGCAATTTTTTGCCACACGCACAAGGACTCGTTATGACCTACAAGTACCAATTTCAGACAAATCGGTGAAAAAATGTGGCATAAATAATCAAAATACCGAATATCGAGAGGTACCGTTATATGAGGACTATACCAGAACGTGGACCGATATATCTCATTTTCAATACCAACCATCCTAGACACAATACAAATAGCTCTGCTAAATTTTGGCGCTCTACGTCAAATAATGTGGGCTGTATCGTGATTTCAGCAAACAGACAGGCGGACATCGTTTAATCGACTTAGAATTTTATGCTGATTATGAATATATATACTTTATGGGGTCTACGACGAATATTTAAGGATGTTACAAACGGAACGACAAAGTTAATATACCCTCCTTTCCAAGGTGGAGGGTATAAAAATATATAAAAAAAATGGTAAAATTCTGATGAATATGAAAAAATCTTCAATTTGGGCTGAACGGACCGTAAAATCGTATGAAGATGTATAGCTATATACAAATCTGAACCGATCTCGATAAATTTTGGCAGATGTATTTTCAAGAAGTATATGATGTCCGGTATCAAAAGTCATTGCTGAGGAGTGCATATTACGCATGTGAGGGGCTTGAACACCAAATCGGATAAAACATATATGGGAGCTATAGCTATATCTGAACGGATTTTCACCGAAAATTTTAAGCGCTTGCTTTTAAACTGAATTCCGTCAGAGGTGTCAAAATTCAGTCCACTTGGGCTGATATTAGCCAGTTGGTGCACAAAAAACCTGAAATGAAGTAAAGATATATATGGGTGTTATATCCAATTCTGAACCGATTTCGATAAAATTTAGCAGAGGTATTTCTGAGCTCTATAAGATATCTGGTACCAAATATAATTTTTGTGGAAGGCCTGTTACGAATGTGAGGAACTTAAAGATCAAATCGGATGAAACATATATATGGAAGCTATAGCTATATCTGAACGGATTTTCACCAAAAATCTGAAGCTGTTGCTTTTAGACTTAATTCGGTCGGATGTGTCAAAATTCAGTTCATTTAGGTTGATATTGGCCATTTGGTGCGCAAATAATTTGAAATCGGATAAAAATATATCTGAGAGCTATATCCAAATCTGAACCGATCTTGACAAAATTTTAAACACTTATTTCTGATATCTGGTACCAAATATTATTGTTGTGGAGTACGTATTACGAATGTGAGGGACTTAAAGACCAAATCGGATGAAACATATATATGAGAGCTATAGCTATATCTGAACCGATTTTCACCAAAATCTGAAGCGCTTGCTTATAGGCTGAATTCGGTCATATGTGCCGAAATTCATTCAATTCGGGGTTATATTAATCATTTGATGCACAATAAACTTGAAATTGGCTGAAAATATAATGGGAGCCATATCCAAATCTTCCAATTCCGAACTTACAATACAAAATTCCAAACAATTCCGGTGAATAATGTGTCTAATATCATGAAAATACCGAATAAAATACCATTGAATAAGACGTGTCCTGCATAGACAATTTTCCGTCATAGGTTGTAGTATCCATTACGAACTTTAAATACGAAATTTGACGCAATTCCGGTGAATAATGTTGCGAAAATCCTGAAAATACTGAATATCTCAGGGTAACGTTATATGAGTGCTATACTAAAACGTAGACCTATACAGACAATTCTCTTCTAGGGGGTGTGGATTTTTAGACTATTCAATTGAAAAATGTGCCTAAAATCATCAAAATACCGAATATAGGAGGGTACCATTGTATGGGGGCTATACGATGTTGTGGACCTATGTAGAAAATTCCCTTTCTGGGTGGCGAGTGTAAAGTACTCACAGAAAACTTCTTGTGTGGGATTTCAGACAATGCCATTGAAAAATGTGACTCAAATCATCAAAATACCGAATGTCGGGAGGTACAGTTATACAGGAGATACACGAAGACCTGGACCTGCACTAACAATTTTCTGTCTTGGGCTGTAGTATTCATTACGAGCTTCAAATACCAAATTTGAAACAATTTCGGCGAATAAAGTCTCTCAAATCATCAAAATACGGAAAATAGGAAGGTACCGTTATATGGGGGCTATACGAAGACGTGGTGCTGGATAGGTAATTTTCTGTCACAGGCTGTAGTACCGATTCCGAACCTAAAATACGAAATTCTGAACAATTCCGGTGAATAATGTCTCTAACATCATGAAAATACCGAATAAAGGGAGGAAACTTTGAATGGGGTCTATACTAAGATGTGGACCTGCATAGACAATTTTTCGTCATAGGTTGTAGTACCAATTACGAACTTCAAATACGAAATTTGACGCTATTCCCGTGAATAATGTTGGGAAAATGTTGAAAATACAGAATATCTCGGGGTAGCGTTATATGGGTGCTATACTAAAACGTAGACTTATGTAGACCATTCTCTTCCAGGGGGTAAAGTACTCATAGAGAACACTTGGTGTGGATTCTCAGACTATTTCATTGAAAAATGTGGCTAAAATCAACAAAATACCGAATATCGGAGGGTATGGGGCGATGTCGTGGACCTATATAGAAAATCCCCTTTCTGGGGGGTAAAAAACTCATAGAGACCTTCTTGTGTAGAATTTCACACAATGCCATTGGAAAATGTGACTAAAATCATGAAAAAAAAACCGAAATTTTGGGGGTACCTTTATATTCGGGCTATATGAAAACCTGAACACAGGCTGTAGTACCCATTAGGAACTTAAATTACGAAGTTTGAAACAATTCCAATGAATAATGTCGCTAAAATCGTCACAACACGGAACATAGAGAGGTACCGTTATATGGAGGCTATACTAAGACCAGGACCTACATAGACAATTTTCAGTAGTACCCATTACCAAGTACAAATACGAAATTTGAAACAATTCCGCTAAATAATGACGCTAAAATCATCAAAATACCGAATACTGGGAGGTACGGTTATATGGGGACCATATAACCACCGGGATCTGCAGGCTGTAGTACCCATTAGGAAGTTCAAGTACGAATTTTGAAACAATTCCGAATAATGTCGCTAAAATCATAAAATACCGAATATTGGGGGTACCGTTATGTGGGAGCTATAATATATCTTCGAACTGCACACAAAAAACTGATCTGTGCAGAATTTAAGCTACCTATCTTAATTCGTTTTGAATCTAGCGTTTTGAATCTGCAACAAAGTCAAACGCCATAATTTTTACATTTTTTGTTTTAAATTTTATCGAATGAAAGCAAAAAAATCGGAAATAGAATAAAATTTTAGGATAAGATTAGATTTGTTCGGATTGGTCGCCTTTGGCACGAATTATGGCCTTCAAACGGCCAATGAAACCGTCAAACGCTCTGTATTTTGGTCAATTCCTGGCGAAGAGCTTGCTTGAGGTGATCGACACTTTGATATTTTTTAGTGCCAGCCTTGCTTTCCAAAATACTCCAGACACAATATTCCAACGGATTGCTATCCGGAGATTTTGGTGGCCATTGTGCGCTGGAAATGAAGCAAGGAACCTCATTTTGTAACCATTCTTGGGTGGCGCGTGCTGAGTGCGATGGTCTGCGGCCAAAATGTTTGCGTGCCCAAGGCTTTAATACACCCTCCAGAATATTTTCGTTATAATATTCGGCATTTATTCTGTTGTTACGGTCGATTAATACGAGCAAAGAGCGACCATCGGCTGTTCACCCTGTATATACTTTGTAGGGTCTTAAATTATTATTTCGAAGAATTACATACGGAATTACGAACTTAATATACCCTCCATACTATGTATGGTGGAGGGTATGCAAATGGGTGATACTTAAAAGATATCCTTGAAAAATCCACAATTATACAAGGTCCTAGAAATCGTAATCCTAAAAAATCCACGACTATTGAAGATCCTGGAAAAATATCCTCAAAATCTCAAATTGATTCCATTAGTCCTAGAAAAATTATTTAATTTTTTTCCCAAAATTTCTCTTTTCAGCTTCAAAAATGCCCGACGAAAAATTTTCAATGCCTCTACCCTAAAAACCGAAATCCCCCATAACCCCCACCCCTCTGGGGGTGGCCAAAAATCCATAAATGATGTACAAACTGTGATAATTGGAGCTGGATTGGCTGGCCTGTCGGCAGCTTCGCATCTCATCAAAAATGGCTTCAAACGCACCATCATACTCGAGGCAACCGATCGTTATGGTGGCCGCATAAATTCCAAGCACTTCGGTGATGCTTTCTGTGAGCTGGGAGCCAAGTGGATAAGTATTGATGCATCCCACAACACAGTCTATGAGTTGTTACAGCAACGCTCTGGCCTGCCCAAGAAAATACAACAAAAAGAGGAGACGCTGTATGTGAATACCAAGGGGGCGAAAATCAACAAACAACTACCCGAACTGGTGGACATATTCTTTAAGAAGCTCTGTGCCGGGGTGGAGTTGAAAAATCGCTATGCCAAGGGAAATCTCCATGAGCTGGACAATGTCTATAGTTACTTTCAGGCGGAAAGTGCCAAGATCATCAATGCCATGTTCAAGGAAAAGGAACGTCTGCTTGTGGCAGATATTTTCAATGCCCTGATGAAGGACTTTGGCGGCAAATTGGGTTGTAATTTGGAGTATTTGAATATTGAACAGTTGATTAAATTTAAAAATCAGTTTGCCTATCCGATTTACATACCGACCGGGATGAACAGTATTCTCGATGATGTGATAATCAATATTGATAGTGATAATTTACTAATTGGCCGTCCGGTGGGAGAAATCAAATGGTTGAGTAATGGCTCGATGAGCAGGGATACCAAAAAGAGTGTAAATTGCCTGGATGGTTCGGTGATAAATGCCGATCACATAATTTGCACTGTACCCCTGGGGGTATTGAAAACATTTGCCGGTCTAATGTTTAAACCCCCGCTGCCAGCTGAGAAGCTAAATGCCATAAGGAATCTGGGTTTTGGTAGTCCTGTGAAAATCTATTTTGAATACAAAAACCCCTTGCCCGAATGGTTTTCGACCAACTTACGACCCTTATGGTCGTCGGAGGAACATTTGCAGGATCGCCATTGGACGAAACAGGTGGTTGAGATCTCAAAGGCACCCAGTAGCAATCATGTTCTGGAAATCACCATTGGTGGGGCATACTATGATGAAATTGAAAAATTACCCGACACTGAGGTAATTGATGAAATAACCAAATTACTGAGGCTGTGTTTAAAAAATCCAAAGATACCCTTTCCTGCTGAAGTGCTGCGTTCCAAATGGAGCAGTAGTGCCTGTTATCTGGGTGGACGTCCGTACTTTTCAACGAACAGTAGTGCCCAGGACATACAAACGCTTTCGAAACCCTTGGGCATAACGCCAAGTTTACTCTTTGCCGGCGATGCCACAATTTTGAATGGTTTCGGTACAGTGGATGGGGCCCGAATGAGTGGCATACGAGAGGCTCAACGCATTATTGATTACTATAAGAAATAGTATGGGTTGTATTACGAATGAAAATGAGAAATTTTTAAAATTATGTAGATACGAAATTAATTTTACGATTGACGATAATTTATTGATAATAATTAAGAATTAAATAAAACAAAATGGCTATGATATTGAAAAGAGTCCTTTACGGGTTTAAAATAGGGGATTTAGATTTAAATTCTCCAATTTGTTCCATTTTTTTTAAAAAGAGTTCTTAAAGATGTTAAAAATTGTCAGTCGACAGATGCCAACCTCCTTTTGTCTAAATATCTAGAAGAGCAGTGGAATAATTAGCTGACTGAGAATCAACCCCTGGCAAAACGGCTCGAGGGCCTGTATTGCTGCGTAAGCTGCGTATTTGAAATTTCGTACTAAAAGGGAACGAAAAGTAGTAAAATGCACAAAAAATTGAATACGTTGTAGTGGACAAACGAAATGAGCTAGGATTCTGAAATTTGGAATGAGAGTCACTGATGTAGTGCATGATAGATATACCAAAGAGTTGTTGGAAATTCGAACTTTTAGGTAACGAAAAGTTATAAAATTTTACTACACTTCTAAAATGGTACCATTTGGTATTATGTAAACGGATAGAGCTAAAAACTTGAAATCGGGTATGATAATCAATGTTGGAAAGTAAGTCGGATATGTGAAGGTGGTTTTGGAAATTTGTACTAAGTGTGTGAACAGTACTAAATAGTACAAAATTTGGAACAGTTTGGTTTGGGGTGAACAGTCGAAGCTGGAATTTGGAAATTTTGTATTGGGCTCCCTATTGGTGGTAGGTTTGTGATAAAGAGGTGCTTTTGGAAATGTGTACTACGAGTGCACGAAAAGTACTAAATACCACTATATTTGGTACAATTTGGTCTCGTGGCGTGGATTTTTTAAACATTTTTCAAAGGCCACCTGTAGGTCAATAGGCGTGGATTTTTTAAACATTTTTCAAAGGCCACCTGTAGGTCAATAGGCGTGGATTTTTTAAACATTTTTCAAAGGCCACCTGTAGGTCAATAGGCGTGGATTTTTTAAACATTTTTCAAAGGCCACCTGTAGGTCAATAGGCGTGGATTTTTTAAACATTTTTCAAAGGCCACCTGTAGGTCAATAGGCGTGGATTTTTTAAACATTTTTCAAAGGCCACCTGTAGGTCAATAGGCGTGGATTTTTTAAACATTTTTCAAAGGCCACCTGTAGGTCAATAGGCGTGGATTTTTTAAACATTTTTCAAAGGCCACCTGTAGGTCAATAGGCGTGGATTTTTTAAACATTTTTCAAAGGCCACCTGTAGGTCAATAGGCGTGGATTTTTTAAACATTTTTCAAAGGCCACCTGTAGGTCAATAGGCGTGGATTTTTTAAACATTTTTCAAAGGCCACCTGTAGGTCAATAGGCGTGGATTTTTTAAACATTTTTCAAAGGCCACCTGCAGCCCTGGTGCCACTGCATGCCATGTTGTTTGGATAGAGACGAACGCAAACAACTCGCCTTTACTGCTACGCACGTTTGGTGACATTATTGGTTGCACGTAGTAAATTGGTCTACGACACAACGTTGTTTGGCTTGTAATAATTCATTTCGAAAATTCTAACGGTGTCTGCACTGCATATGACTTGGGGTTGGAGTGGAGTTATATCGGTGGTTTAAAATGTCATATTGGCAGGCTGCAGGTTGCTTTATGCATAGCCTTAATGCGGTGGGGCATGTAAAGCCAAACTGGTTTGGAATTTTGGGGAAGGAAATGGAATTAAAAAAACAAGTAGGAAATTTTAAAAAAAAATATTTGAAAAAATCCACATCAATATTCGCTCTTTAAAAAGATTTTAAAAAAATCCATGTCAATGTCGCTCCTTAAAAAAATATTTTGAAAAAAATCCACGTCAACAATGTCCATTGAAAAATATTTTAAAAAACGTCCACGTCCAGCCAACATCAAGGCTCTGGAAAAATATTTAAAAAAAATCCACGTCAACCATGGGTCTGCCGAACTTACAGATTTTTTACTTGTTAGAAATATATTTGGAGACCACCAGAAAAACGTTATTTTTTTTTTTTGAAATATTTTTTCCAGACAATAACGTGGTTTTTTAAATATTTTCTGGAGACTGGAAAACGTGGATTAAAAAAAAATATTTTTTGGGAGTTCGCTCAAAAAATTATTTTTTTAAAAAATATATTTTTTTGGAGACTTCCACAAAACGTGGGTTTTTAAAAATATTTTTTTGGAGACGGCCTTAAAAATATTTGTTTTTTCCAGACTCCCTCCCAAGGTGGTTTTTAAATATTTTCTGGAGACTATCTCAACACGCAGATTTTTAAAAAACTCAAAACGTGGATTTTTTAGAAAAATATATTTTTGAAATTCGTTCAAAACGTTATTTTTTAAGAATATATTTGTAGACTACAACAAAACGTGGCTTTTTTTAGAATTTTTGGAGACTACTACATTTTTTCTTTCTAATAACTCTGTTTTTTGTTTCTCCCTCTGTCTCTCTTTGTCTCACAAATTCTGAACATCCTTTGCCATTAAATAATACATGATATTGGAATGTGCCGAATTTTAAGAAATCGGATGCTCATTTCGAATTTTATCCACTTCATGATTATACAAAATGTTGATCCCTTTATGGGAGAGGTACCAGAAGGAGTGCATCGCTGTCAACCATCTTCACACCAGATGTTGTCTTAGTAGAAATACTGGAATGTGTGAAGTTTAGAAAGAATCGGATGGCTTTTTCGCATTTGAGGAAAGTTATAAATGGACAAAAATTTTGGGTGAGGTACCAGAAAGAGTGGTCCTTAATATTCCATACTCACACCTTATATTATGTTGATAGAAATATTGAGACATGGCAAGGATAAACAAAAAACAGATGCTTATTTCGCGTTTGGTTTTTAGAACCCACGTTGGCAGGAGTACCAAATGTTGTGTTAGTAGAAATATTGGAATGTGTAAAGTTTATAAAGAATCAGATGCCCATTTCGCTTTTTATAAGAGATATAATTATCCAAAATTTAGACCCGTTGGGGGGGAGGAGGCAGAAAGAGTGGATCGATATGTACAATCTTTGTCCCTTGTCTTCTGTTGATAAAAAAATTGGGATGTCCCGATCGAATGCTAATTTCTCATTTTATGAGAAGATTATTCCAAATTGTGACCCGTTGTGGGGGAGGTACCAGAAGTAATGGCCCGCTCTATACGTTCTGCATAACACATCAAGTGTTAGTAGAAATTTTAAGATGTACAAAATTTGAAGACTATCGAAAGCTCATCTCGCATTTTATGACAGTTATAATTATTTGAAATGTTAACCCTTTGTGTGGGAGGTACTGGAATTTTCGCCCCTGACTAAGTACCAATAAAATTTTTAGGATTTACAAAGTTTGGACAAAATCAGATCAAAATCCTTTGATGTTCTATACGGCAAATTTTTTTCTGTGAAAATGTTGACCATTTGTGTGCAGCATGAAGAAGAGGTCCGATATTGCCCATCTTCAAACTCGGTCAAAGTTTGATAGTAATATGTATCAAGTTGGGACAATATCGGAAACTCCCTTCGAGAGATATCGTGCGCACCAGCCAGACAGACAGAAAAAAATCGCTAGATCGACTCCAAATGTCCTGAAAGGGATTTGGCCCAAAGAGACCTAACCGATTAGGCCAAACAAATGACTTGTGCAAAATTTCATCTGGATCGGGCAAGAAATTCAAAAAATTCATGGACAGACGGACGGGCGGACGGTCATGCATAAATCGACTCAGAATGTGATGCTATGCAGATCATCAAAAGGATCTAAAGGTCTAACTCAATTCCTTCTCTATGTTACAAACAAATGCACAAAAACATGATACCCTGACCACCCTGTGGTGTAGGGTATAAAAATCAAAGATTTTTGACACATTTTCAAGCAAAAAAAAAAAAATGTATCGGCCGCCTGTGTCCAAAAGCGTGAGAATAAATTTTGTTGATAAATACATCTTTATTATGGTTTAAGGCATTTCAAAAAACTTGTTCATTGACGTTGACAAAAGCCAATTAAAAAAATTACGGGCAATGACATTTATTAACTACTGTACTTCATATTATGCACATGCTGCACTGCCCTTGTAACCGGTTGAAAACGGCGGACCCTTTAAAACGAAAGTCAGCCCTAATCAGAGAAAAATATTCATTAGAGTTTTGAGTGTTGCGGTGTCACCAGCCAGACGCTATGGAGCCAAAAGAATTCAGTGATTTCGCCAAGTCGATGGTGGATTATATTGTTGAATATTTGGAAAATCTAAGGGAACGGTAAGAAAAATTTTGTAATTCAAGGTCAAATGGTTTCTATGAAATTTTGAAACTATTTCGGGGGCCGACCGAAAAAAACTGAGATTTTTTATCTAAATTCTAAACTTATTCTAACCTTATGCCTCAATAAATTTTAGTTATTTGAATAGGAGATTTTGTTTAGCCATAAAGAGGCCAAATTGGTTTGATAAGAAGACGTAGAATGGCTCCCAGGAAAATCTTAAATATATCTAACGAAAAAAGAACTATTTGTCTACAAAGAAATGTATCTGCAAAATGCAAAAAAAAATACAAACAAGTAAAAAAAGCTGTAAGTTCGGCCAGGCAATTCACAAAAACAATAAAATCCGTTAAAAATTAAAATCTTAAAAATAACGAATGTAGCTGTTACATTAGGGTCTATACGACGACATGGACCAGCATAGGTAACTTTTGTCATAAGCCATTACAATATTCAAATGCGAAACTTAACAAAAAAATCGCTGAATAATGTAGCTAAAATCATCAAAATACCGAATATCGGAAGGTACCGTTATATGGAGGATATACGAAGAAGTGGACCTGCACAGACAATTTTTTGTCATAGGCTGTAGCATTAATTTCAAACTTCAAATACTAAATTTGAAAGAAATCCGTTGAATAATATCGCTAAAATCAACAAAAAACCGAATATCCGGAGATAGCGTTATATGGGGGCTATACGAAGACGTGGAACTGCACAGACAATTCTCTGTCTTAGGCTTTAGTATCCTTTACGAACTTCAAATACCAAATTTGAAACAATTCCGGTAAATAATGTCGCTAAAATCATCAAAATGCCGAATATCGGGAGATACAGTTATACGGTGGCTATACGAAGATGTGGACCTGCACAGACAATTTTCCGTCATAGGCTGTAGTATTCATTTCAAACTTCAAATACTAAATTTGAAAGAATTCCGGTGAATAATGTCGCTAATATCAACAAAGTACCGAATATCGGGAGGTACCGTTATATGAGGGCTATACGAATACCTGGACCTGCGCAGACAGTTTTCTGTCTTTGGCTGTAGTATCCACTACGAACATCAAATACCAAATTTGAAAGAATTTCGGTGAATAATGTCGCTAATATCAACAAAGTACCGAATATCGGGAGGTACAGTAATACGGTAGATATATGAAGGTGTGAACCTACTTAGACTGTAGTATCCTTTACGAACTTCAAATACCAAATTTGAAACAATTCCGGTAAATAATGTCGCTAAAATCATCAAAATACCGAATATCGGAAGGTACCGTTATATGGGGGCTATACGAAGACGTGGACCTGCACAGACAATTTTCTGTCATAGGCTGTATTATTCATTTCAAACTTCAAATACTAAATTTGAAAGAATTCCGGTGAATAATGTCGCTAATATCAAAAAAGTACCAAATATCGGGAGTTACCGTTATATGGGGGCTATACGAAGACGTGGACCTGCACAGACAATTCTCTGTCTTAGGCTGTAGTATCCTTTACGAACTTCAAATACCAAATTTTAAACAATTCCGGTAAATAATGTCGCTAAAATCATCAAAATGCCGAATATCGGGAGGTACTGATATATGGGGGCTATACGAAGATGTGGACCTGCACAGACAATTTTCTGTCATAGGCTGTAGTATTCATTTCAAACTTCAAATACTAAATTTGAAAGAATTCCGGTGAATAATGTCGCTAATATCAAAAAAGTACCAAATATCGGGAGTTACCGTTATATGGGGGCTATACGAAGACGTGGACCTGCACAGACAATTCTCTGTCTTAGGCTGTAGTATCCTTTACGAACATCAAATACCAAATTTGAAACAATTCCGGTAAATAATGTCGCTAAAATCATAAAAATACCGAATATCGGAAGGTACCGTTATATGGGGGCTATACGAAGACGTGGAAGTGCACAGAAAATTTTCTGTCCTAGGTTGTAGCATCCATTTCGAACATCAAATACCAAATTTGAAGCAACTTCGATGAATATTGTCGCAAAAATCATCGAAATACCGAATATTGGGAGGTACCGTTATATGGGGGCTATACCAAAACGTGTTCCTACATGGCCCATTTTCAATACCAAAAGTCCTGCAGACATAATATATATTTGAGTAAAATTTTATCAATCTACTTCAATTTGTTCGGAAGCTAGAGTGATTTCCACAGACGAAATAACTATGTTTTCTTATAGAAGACCAGGGACGTATATAGACCATTCTCTATCTATATAGATTCGTCTATCCGTCTAGGATAGACGGACGGACACCGCTAAATCGACATAGAATTTTACGCTGATCAAGAATATATATACTTTGTGGGGTCTAAAATGTATGACCTATGTACGTCCCTCGTCTTCTACAAGAAAACATAGCTGACCTCTAGAGTTTTTGTTCTTATGGCTAGGAAACCCTCTCCACTCTTCTCACAATGCCATTATTTTTTCCCACATTTTCTATTTTCATTTCAGCCGTGTCCTGGCAAATGTACAACCTGGTTATTTGCGCCCTCTGATTCCCAATGCGGCTCCCGACGACCCCGATTCCTGGCAAGATGTCATGGCCGATATTGAACGCGTGATTATGCCTGGAATTACCCACTGGCAAAGTCCCAGATTTCATGCCTATTATCCCATGACAAATTCCTATCCCTCGATTGTGGCTGATATGTTGAGTGGGGCCATTGCATGTGTTGGATTCTCATGGGTAGGAGGAGGAATTTTCCAAATAAAAAACGATAAAATCAAATTTTGTTTTAGATGGCCAGTCCCGCTTGCACAGAATTGGAGGTGGTTATGCTTGATTGGTTGGGTAATATGATTGGCTTGCCCAAGGAGTTTCTGGCCTCTTCCGGTGGCAAGGGAGGTGCGGTTATACAAGGTACTGCCAGTGAGGCAACTTTGATGGCCTTGCAGGCAGCCAAGGCAAAGAAAGTGCAGGAAGTAAAAGAAGACCATCCAGATTGGACAGATGACATGATTGTAACGAAATTGGTGGCCTATACCTCGGATCAGGCCCATTCATCTGTGGAAAGAGCTGGGCTATTTGGTGGGGTTAAAATGCATTTCATAGCATCCGATGCCAAGAACAGTATGAGGGGTGAGGATTTGGAAATGGCTATCAAAAATGATTTGGAAGCAGGCCTTATACCATTTTATGTAAGTCCGAAAAATTTTTCAATTGCCGATCAAAAAGTGCCCATTGAAATTATTTTTTTATTACAGGCTGTTGTCACCCTGGGCACCACCAACAGCTGTGCCTTTGATCGCCTGGATGAATGCGGACCAGTGGGCAATAAATACCACATATGGATCCATGTGGATGCTGGCTATGCAGGCTGTGCATTTATTTGCCCCGAATACCGCCATTTCATGCAGGGGATTGAGACGGCGGATTCTTTCAATTTCAATCCCCACAAATGGCTGTTGGTCAATTTCGACTGCAGCACCATGTGGCTGAAAGATCCATCCTGGTTAATAAATGCCTTCTATGTTAACCCGGTCTATTTGAGACACGAGACGCAAGGTTCTCTACCCGACTACAGGCACTGGCAAATTCCGTTGAGTCGGCGTTTTCGTGCCCTCAAATTGTGGTTTGTTTTACGTCTCTATGGTGTTAAACAGCTCCAGGATCACATTCGACGTTATTGTAAATTTGCTCAGGAATTTGCCGAAATGTGCCGGGCAGATGAGCGTTTTGAAATCGTGGGAGAGGTTAATATGGCTTTGGTTTGCTTCCGTTTGAAGGGCGGCAATGAGGCGAATGAAAAGCTCTTGAAAGTTATTAACTGTCGTGGCAACATCCATATGGTGGCTGCTAAAATCCATGAGATTTACTTTTTGCGAATGGCGGTGTGTTCGCGTTATACCAAATCGGAGGACATGATTTACACATGGAATGAAGTTAAGGAGGTGGCTGATGAAATGTTGCAGAAATAATGAAACCTTTTTATGTCAGCATCTCCAAAATCGAATGGTAAAAATATAATTGGAAAAAATCTAAACTTATCGGTAAGGAAGGGAAAATAGGCTCATTATCTCCACAATGGTGGGGTTTTCTGAAGAATATTTTTAAGATTTATGGCCAAAAAATTGCTAATTTGCTTATCCTGAAAAAAATGTTGAATTGTAGGACTTTTGGGATTTTCGGGACCAAAAGTAAACTTAAGAAAGTTAAAAAATTGAGACCGAAATCCTATTTTTAAAAATTTTGGACCAAAAATCCGAATTTTTTAAGACTTTCTAATGTTATTTAAAGTTACAGCCGACGAAGCCAACAATGCAAAGGTAGTTGTATGAAAAATATGCAAAAACTAGCAAGAACCCGCTACTTCATCAGCGTAAAGTCCGTTTTAAAATTTTAGATTCGGTTCAACCGTTAGTTTAAGGCCTTTTTATACCCTTCACCATAGTATGGAGGGTATACTAAGTTTGTAACACCTCGAAATATACATTTTAGACCCCACAAATTATATATATTCTTAATCAGGATAAAATTCTATATCGATTTAGCGGTGTCCGTCCGTCTGTGGAAATCACTCTAGCTACCGAATGAAATGAAGTAGATTGATAAAATTTTACTCAAATTTATTTTATGTCTGCAGGGCTTTGAGTATTGAAAATGGGCCATGTCGGTCGACGTTTACGTATAGCTCCCATATAACGGTACCTCCCTTTTTTCGATATTTTGATGATTTCAGCAACATTATTCACCGGAATTGTTTCAAATTTGCTATTTAAAGTTCGCAAAGGGTACTACAATCTATGATAAAAAATTTCGTATGTAGGTCCACGTTTTCGCATAGCCTCCATAAAACGGTAATCGTCATATACGATATTTTGATGATTTTAGCGACATTAATTACGGGAATTGTTTTAAATTCGGTATTTGAAGATCTTAATGGGTACTACCATCTATGACAAAAAATTTCGTAGGTAGGTCCACGTCTTCAAAAGCCCCTATATAACCTTCCTTCCAATATTCAGTATTTATATGTTATTAGCGACATTATTCACCGTAATTGTTTCAAATTTGGTATTTAAAGTTCATAATTTGTACTACAGACTATGACAAAAAATTGCATATGTTGGTCCACGTTTTCGTATAGCCCGCATAAAACGGTACTTCCAGATATTCGGTATTTTGATGATTTTAGCGACATTAATTACGGGAATTGTTTTAAATTTGGTATTTAAAATTCGGAATCGAAATCGGTCGGAAACTCGGAGTCGGTACATCCTAAGAAAAAAATTACTTATGCAGGTCCTCGTATAGCCATCATATAACGGTTTTCGTCTTAACGATTTTTTTCACGACATTTTTTTTTAAATTTTCAACTTTGATCCAAATGGTGGAGGTTGTACAAACTCGAAATATTCAGATTGACAAAATTTTTAAATCAAAGCTTCATACATCGTTCTAAATTTTCAGACTTTCAACATTTTATATATTATTCAAGTTTTTCCTTTTTTCGGAAAGAATAATAGGAACATGTTTACCTTTTACACCAAAAAGTCTTCAAAATCTCTAAAAAAAAATGTTTTTTGTCATAGAAGTTATTTTTAAAATAACTTCTGGGGAGAATATCCCAGACAAAAACAAGGGAACTGATGAGGATTGGTGGCTCTTTCCGAAACTTAGGTATTCCCTGCCTTACCCCCTAGTAAACATTACCATCGTTCTCCACTAATAAACAAACGTTGTTTTTATAAAAACAACAATAAAGGGATAAAGCCAGGCCATTTTGCAACAACAAAAAAAATACGGTATCCCGAACAAACAAGCCACACTGTTCTATGATGGAAAATTAGTACCATTTAGTACTTTTCGAACAAATATAGTAAGCATTTCCAGAACTACCACCAAATACCAACAGAGACCTCAATATAAAATTTCGAGATTCCAGCTCCATACATTTAATCAATATCAAATTTAGTAACAATAAGTACTCACTTCCAAAACCGTTCCATATATCAATCCTAGACAATAACAGTCATCGCAATATAACATGTCAGGATGACAAGCTCTATTCCTTTACCAAAAACCTAATATAGTACTTCTTGTACAATTAAAGTACACATTTCCAAAATCACCTCCATATCTCAACCTTAGCTACCAACACAGACCTCAATAGACAATTTGGGAATTCCAGCTCTATTCATTCACCCAATACCAAATATAGTACCATTCAGTACTTTTCGTACAGTTAAAGCACAGACACCAACACCAATTTCAGATCCATTCCTTCACCAAATACCAAATTTGGTACCATTTAGGACTTTTCATAAAAATAAAGGACGCATTTCCAAACCACCGCCAAATCTCAAACACAGATACCATCAGTAATATAAATATCAAATTTCAGAATTTTATCTCTATCCTACACCCAATACCAAATATAGTGCCATTATCCAAATTGTACCAAATACCAAATTGTACCAAATATGTATAGCAGCTTTTAGTACTTTTTCATACACGTGTATCAAACATTTCCAAGACCTCCTGAATATCCCAATCCCAGATACTAAGAGAAACCTCAATAAAATATTTCAGAATTTTATATCTAACTCTACACCCAATACCAAATATAGTACAATTCAGTACTTTTCGTACAAAATGAGTAAACATTTCTGAAACTACCTCTATATATTCAGGATACACTTGAACAGAGACCCTTATACCAAATTTCAGATTTCAGGCACTATATTTTTATCCAATTCCAAATTGTACCAAATATAGTAATATTTACTACCTTTCATGCACTTGTAGTGTACATTTTCAAAACCACATCTTTATGAAAAACCAACCACCAATAGGGACCCCAATCCAAAACTTCAAAATTCCAGCCTAACCTGTTCAACCTAAACCAAACTGTACATTTTCCAAAACCACCTGCATTTATGAAACTTAGTTCGCATCCTCGATTTCTTTATTAAAATTGAAGTTTTCGGCTCTATTCGTTTACACAATACCATATGTTACCATTGTAGAAGTTTAGTAACATTTTAGAACTTTTTCTTATCCTTTGAGTTCGAATTTCCAAAAATCCTTTGGCATATCTAGCCTGCCCTCCATCAGTGACTCTCATTCCAAATTCATTCAGATTTCTACCTAATTCCGTTTGTCCAATACAAAGTATTCAATTTTTAGTACACTAAGTACCCTGTTAAAACCGAGCCTTATCACACGCCTACGTCCCAAGACTGACCCTCATGCGAAATTTCAAGATTCTAGCTTCTGCCGTTTTGGCTCTGCATTGATTCTCAGTCAGCTATCTCACTACCATTTTATAAACGTATATTGATACAAATTATAATATTCTTTCTATTTCCAAAATTTTTTCCAATGCAAAAATAATGTTTATATGTTTGAAAAAATGTTCAAAAACTTACCTGACTTACCGGCTACTGCATTGTTTTTTGTTGATAATATCCAATAAGATCAAGAGATGAGACCAACAACTCTCTCTTTCTCAATTTCTCGCATTTGCATTCGGTTAACCGAATGCTTAGTTGAAGGAAATATTTAACAAACTTTGAAACACAATATCATTCTTTATAAATTGCCTTTTTAACAAATTACGAACACCATACACAAGATATTTTCTCATTTTCACACCACTTATTTAATCAAGAAAAAGAGGCATTTTACCCCTTTTTGGTGGGAAAATATTTTTTTATTTCCATAAATTAAAATATAACCACACTTAATTTTACATTTTTTTTCGGAAATGATCGCAGATAAATATTTTCCGATTATTTTTGATCAAAACACTTCATTAATAATGAAACATTTAAATAATTTAACATTTTCATCTTTAAATCACCATGAAAAAGCACAATGAGCAACCGATGCCCGTTACAATAAATTACAATGATTTCTTTCTTTTTCTCTTTCCCGTATGCACACACACACGAACTCCTACTCATAGGCAAAGGAACTACTCCAATTGGAATTTCGTTGAAGAGAAACGAAAAAGCTACTTTTTTCCACCAAATTACTAATAAGAACCAATTTATTTCACCATTATATTGTTAGCCACGACCGAATTTATGATATTTTACTATTTTTTTCATATTTTGCAAACAAATAACTCTTTAAATTAAACTATTAAACACCAAAGAGAACCGAAGCACAACCGGCGGCCGTTAAAATGAATGACAAGACTAGCTCTTTCTCACTCTTCAATACACACAAACTCATTCTCATAAGCAAAGGCACAACATGAATTGCCAGCTTTTTGGAGGGAAAATAAAACACAACATTTTGCAACGAATTACTATTAAAAACCAATTTATTTCTCAATTATATTATTAAACGCGATCGAATTTACGTTATTTCACTATTTTACCGATATTATTTTATACATTTATGCCTTAAATTAAACATTTTACGAGCACAGAGATCAAGGCACAACCGAACGATGTTAAAATAAAAACGACAACTGAAGAAGGAAACGATTGGGAGAAACAGTGTTGTCAATGCCGCATTTTGAATGAATGTCTCCTAAATCAATTAATGTACCAACGGGAAACAAAAACAACGACTTAATTCACTCTCACTCACTCTCTCTGCCTCTCCCGATAAAACGAACTCAAAAGCACGAAGCACTAAATGTTGCAAATTTATTGCTGAGAAAAAAGAACACAATTTTTTGTGCTATTGCACATTTAGAACACAACATTTTGCGATGAATTACAATTGAAAATCACTTTATTTCACAATTATATTATTAAACGCGATCTAATTTATGATAATTCACTATTTTAACGATATTTTATAATACATTTATGCCTTAAATTAAACTTTTTACGACCATCGAGATCAAGACACAACCGAACGATGTTAAATAAAAACGATAACTGAAGGAGGAAACAATTAGGAGAAACAGTGTTGTCAATGCACCATTTCGAATGGATGTCACCTAAACATCTTAAAATACCAACGGGAAATAAAATCAACGACGAATTTGCGATACACTGCCT